GTGCCCAAAAATGAAGATGAAAGGTTGGTTGTGGAGAGGTGCTAAACCCTATGATCCCTTTTTTTTGTGCATGTTTTTGTTGACATGTGTCTTAAGAATATTGGCTTAGAGGGCTCTTTTTGAGAGCTTAGGGGGTACAAATAGCTGCAGCAGACCTTGAGAAAATTGAGAATCTTATCTTTATTATTACATGTAATATATGAAGGGCCACTTAAGAAAAAGTATAATAAATATATATTAAAAGAAAAGGGCAACTAAGATAATGGCAATGTATATTTTGCACTGTTGGGATGCCATCACCTCCCAAAAGAAGCTGGTTTGAGAATGTTGAAGGCCACCTAGTACCAACAATGGCTATTTTTTACCATGATCTGGTGGGGGTGGTGGCCACATGAGAATAGTAGAAAATATCAAACCAAGAATATACAAATACATAGAAAAGTAGTATAGATCTTGGACCAAAAATAATGAGAACAAGGGGCCCATAAGTTTGATTCCAAATTGAAACCACATCATGGAAAAGTCACTTGTTCTACGGTTTCCCATGCCATGTGGAAAGTGGAAGGCAATATTTATAATTACTACGATGATGACTACTAGGTGAGTCATCCAAGTTTGAACGTAAATTAAACTGAACTCACAGTAAAATTTGGAAATTTTGGATTATAAGGGACCCAAGACTTGATTGCAAATTGGAACCAACTTAGATACACTTAACGTTTTCCGTTGGTCGTGCTTTGTCCAATTCAAAGTGGTGGACAATAATCATAGTTTCTATCATGATTTATGAAAGCAACAAGAATCCGGCTTATTTTCAGCAAAACTTGATTTCATTTTTCCAATTTTCCTTAATGTAGTTTTTCTATTCATCTTAGAGACTAATTAATTATTCACCCCTAATTAATGGGTTTGTTGTTTCATAACAATGGCCACAAAGTAAAGTTCATAAAACAAGTTGTGATCTCATTAAGTGTAATAGTTATTGCTGATGGCATCTACAAACAATAAATGGCTAAAACAGGAATAAATAAACGGTTTTTTTTAATATTTAATTAAGGATACACAATAAGAACTTATATATAAAATATTTTTATTAAAAATAGCATAATATGACATAATTTAATTAATTAATAACATTAAATGCATAATTTTAATAAAAAATATTATTTATTTTAATATTTTATTATGAGCTCTTGAGCACATTTAGAGAAAAAAAACAGAGAAATAAACAGAAAAGTGAGATTAGATTCTAAAAGGGAACTTAAAAGCAATAACTATTTTGTTTTCTTGCTTAAAGAAGAGGCAAACCAAAAGCTTCAGTGGATTGTCTAGCTGCTATGATTGTGTATGCACCTAAGAAGGAGATCACTGCCATTTATGGTAAAATTCATCAAGAGTGTTAGAGGAAGTTTGGGTTATATGTAAAGCCGGCTAGGGAAAGAGAAATGACTCTTGGATATAATTTCAAGCTATTGACTGCTGCTTTTTCTGACTAAATAAAATAGAGAGCTTCACTTCTTGGTAATGACTGAATAGTATCAAAAGGAAAGTTGAATTGGCCCCTAGAAATTATGAAAAGAGGACATATGATAGGGATTAATTAACAACCAAGTTAAACAATAAAGTATGGCTACATACAAGGCCAAGGTTAATTTTAGCTCTGAAATCAAAATCATGGTATTTTGAAACGTTACGGTATATGAAAAGAAGAAAACAAAGTGCTTTGCTGGCATGGCTGGTGAGAAAGAAAGAAATTAATGGAGAATTAGAATTTTAAACTAATATATCATTGATGTTAAATTATTTTAACAAGTTATCCTATTAACATATTTCTAATTATTTCAAACAGAACGTGTAAATGAGTTTAATATCCCAAAACAGGTGTTTAATAATTTTTTTATTAAGTACTTAAGAGTATCATTAAGCAGATTCATTATGAAGATATAAAATTATTGTTAGAAGAAAGGTGGGGTTAGGGTTTCAGTAAGTGGATCCACTGATGCAATAAAAGCCTCCAACTATCAAAAGTCAAGCACAAATGAAAAAGTAAAGAGTGGGTGCCCGTGTTTTAAAGTTTATATTGGCACTTTGACATTAATATCCTTTCACGATACAAAATTTAAATTAGATATATCTTCAATGGAAAATTGGCAAGATTCACCATTTCATTTTAAAGTCCCTAAAATGCCCTTACAAGCTAATATAATATCTAGTGTACTGTCTGTATTTGGTAAAAATATAAGCTAAACTTTGGCAAGGACTAGATAGAAGTCTCAATTCAATATAAACATAAAAATTGAGTACATTTTTAAGTAGTAGAATAATGGTTGAAATTATCAAAATTAGGTTAGGGGTCTCAAAACTTCATTCCAATGTAAAGCAGTGGAAGAAAAAAAAGGGTAAAAAAATTCAGTTAGGTCATGTCTATCCTTGCCTGTGTTAGATTAAGATTCAAGAAAAAGTTTGGTAAATAGATTAAGTTTAGATTTAACAAATTGCATAAATGCCTTTATCCATTTAATTATCTTAATGAGCACTGTACTATTTTCCTTCATGGGTTTCAATATTGCAACATATGTTGGTTTTTAAATAAAAAAGTAAGAAGCAAATGGATAATGAAAACGTGATAACACATCTTAGTTCTCAATCATCAACTATTTAAAACAATGGTCAGATACTAACTTCTCCACTAGCTTTCTGCAGAGCCCTTTGGACATAGTCTAAGCCAATCTATCATCAAATCCTGAATCTGGTAAGCATGGAGCTATGTTGGCAAAAATCCATTCATGGTTCTTAAAGAAGCATGAAGAGAAGTGTGAGAGGGTCCTCACTAATCACCCTCTCTCACTTTCAACAGTTTGCTTGTGCTTAGCTATTGGCTTCTCTAATCACAAAGGGATGTGTTCAAACATTCTCTACGAGTAGTAGAAGCAATTATGCATTCTCCAAAGGAGCAGAAGCTTTGGCTACAGCCTAGCAAACCGGCAAGTCACAAAAAGGCAATGGACTCCATAGGGGTTCTTATGGCTATGTATTGCTCAAATATAGTGTTCTTCTTGCAGTAGAATGTAATAAAAAAAGATGGTCTTCCTTTGAGAAGTTACCAACTTGTGCTGTTCAAATTACTTAATTTGCAGCTGACTAGAATCCCTTTTTCTCTCTTCAGTTTCTGCAGGTGGGTAGGTAGGTAATTGTGATCATTTCATTCCTGTCCCTTCTCTTCTTGTGTATGTTTCTCCTTTCCATGCTTGTATGCTTGTTTGTGCTATTAGTTATGACCTTATGAGCAATAAAAGAGTAGTAAAATTATAGTTTCTCAAAATTTAGGATTGTATTCAATTCAACTTTATTAGTAAAGCTTCCTCAGAGTTCTCTTTCTAAGGTTGATGGAGTGAATAATGATCATGCCCCATGATCCCTCACCCTTTCCCCTTATTCTGTTGCATTTTTTATTTTGCTGACATTTGAAGTAGTTGTTCATGGGATTCAATGATAAACTAGTTTATTCTCTTGATGATATAAAGGTATCCTAACTAACTAATATTTCATGTCCCAAAAATGATAGGAAGACAGAAAACTTCTTAGGTAGGACTGTTTACATAGACATTCAATAGTTGGTTATATATTTAAAATTGTGAGTCATGTTCAAAGCACATTTATTTCTAAAAAAATGCTTTCACTTATACAAATTATTGATTTTAGTACATTTCATAAACTATGCTTGCTTAAGCATTACTCAGGTTGAAGTCAATAATCAAAACCATTTCGACCAAGGTCACGTTTCTGGTAATGTCAAAGTGAAGCAGAGAAAAACTGGTAGTTGAATGGGGGAACAAATCACCACATAATCATCATAAAAAACACGTTGAAAGTTGAGGGGTTTCACATAGATTGGAGATGTGAGGTTACTGATGGCAGTTATAGTAGATGTCTATTGAGTTGCATTTCTACTCTGATTGGCTTAACGAGGAATTATCAATCATCTGTTAAAACAGTGGCCAAATTAAAAGAAAATGCAAATTATTCTATCTCGTGCTAATAGCCCAATGGAAGCACGTTCCCAATGCCATTGTAATAGGTAGAATATAGAAGCTAAAAGAAATTTTCTACTTCATCAAGTTAGCAAATTGGAGAGCCCTTTATTTGAGAGTGTCAGTTGCCACTTTTATGTGCTTATTGCACTTCTATTTAACTTTGCTTTTATTAAATATGCTCTTCTTCTTATTCGTTGATAAAATCAATAACAAGTGCATTTTAAAAAATACTTTTAAAAAAAGTAATATATAGACGTATAGAAGTAACATCTAGCCCTTCATTTTAAATGAAACTAGACACAAATCCAAGCATAGTGTAGGCAGGTAAAGAAATTTGCTCGAGATCTTATGTAATTAAAACTTACGAACTTCTTTGTGTTAAATTTCGAAGTTAGAACAATCATTAAATCTTATAATACTAAAAAGTATTTGATGTAAGAACAATTGTTTTAAGAAGGTGCCATGATTTTTATTAAAATGATAAGGCTTATTAAGTTAACATGTGACAGCCTGTGTTTTACAAAATATAATTTTTGATAACATTGTCATAACTACTCACAAAAATACAAAAGCACTTGACAATTGCCAATTGTTATAATGGTGACATGACTTTACCTAGAATAACATGGCTTGCTAAAGGGGCACAGCTCGTGGTTAAGAAATTATACATTATAATAAAAGATAGAGTACTTTCCCTCATCCTAAGCATCTTAAGAAATCACTCTTTCACAAGTTTGATCCTTTACTTTCTTTAACTAAACCAAGGCAAAGAATCAAATCAAATTTTAGATCTACAGCTTTCGTGGTATTCATTATGACAAATGTGCTAACAAGTAGATGAATACAGAAAATAGACACAAACTTGTCACTCTGATCGATCATCTTATGCACAAACTAATACTAAAGACAACACCCTTTTGTGCTGGACGCCCAACTGTGGGGAACCAAGGAATATACATGTGTTGAATGTGTATAAAGAACCAGAAATTGGGTAAGGAACCATTTCGAGGAGTTTTTGCTCAGCTTTTCCATTTTCCTTTGCCATATTTCAAGAGAGAAGCATATAGTAGTTCATTCCAAGTATCAGGTACACCAGGCAAACACCAATGACTGCAATCTTGGTGTAGTTCAGCAGAGGTTCTTTCTGCTTCTGTCTTGTATTCCATTCGGTATATAGAAGGGTGTCCATCTTTTCTGTAATCTGTAAGCCTACTGATGTTCATATAAATCACTGGAATTTTCATCTTTGGGATGACATGTTCGAAAGCCCTCATTTTTGAGGGATACTTGCGTAAGTGTGTTCTATTAAATATTGGCTCGGTTTCTTTTTGGCACTGTCCTCCTGAATTCCATTGCCCACCCCTGAAACCAAATCAGAGGGTATTAGAATTTACTGATTCTGGTATAGCAGATGAATATGAATCAGCATATTGCTAATGTATGGTAAGATTGAATTGAAATCACCACCTAGGATAACATAATTAACCACTATAGGAGTATGAAATCTTGCATTAACCACTGAGTCAAAATTGTAAGTGGTTAATTTTATTGATAATGGATATGTTGTTAATTCTGATAAAATAGGTAATATTTATGGGAAGAGTTACATATCCAAAAGTATATTTATATGAGTCAGTACATTGCTAATCTACACTATTATTAATCAGGATTATGTTACAAAATCTATAAATACAATTTCAATAGTAAACAATATTCTGCAACTGGCCATTCATTAAGTTGACAACAATACATAATCAAATGATGTGGTTTTATTAAAATCCTGATGAAGTATTGAACCAATCACCTCAAAAATAATGTAGATAACATAGCTAAATATGTTTCACCCGGGAGGAAAAAATATTGAAGTAGCTAAAGAGGATCACAATAACTAGCCAAGAACTTTTTTATTATATCTCTAGAATTTGAAAATATATAAACTGATCTCATGCAATGTCCTGACTCAGATGTATACCATAACATGGTTCCACAATCTCATTCTTCCAACGAGGACATGTTCATTAATATATATAAATGAAAAGATGTACATGAGGATGAGTGAACACAGCAATAGTCAAAAACAACGAGATGGGAATATGGCCAGTTTGAATGCCTAGTTTTAAATAGTACATAATTTCCAGTCATAAAGCTAATTTAACTAATTTTAAAGCCTATATGTAAAGGGCGCAAATGACAGCAAGTCTCTATCAAAATTTGGAAGCCATGTAAAAGATCAATACCTGAAATGGGTGACTGAGTATCCTCTGAAGAAAACCTGAGTTCGATTAGCATCAATATTGTTGTCGATCCATCTAGCCCAAGTGGTCAATGCCCTTGTATATGCATCCAGAACTTTGAGTCTGGGGTATACATGGTTGCCTTCTTGATAATAGTCTTCTCTGTAACAGTACCAGATGACAGCAAAATCAAAAACCTTATATATTGCAAATAAGGATCACACATTGTGAGCACTACATGGGAAGAAATAAAATAGAGGAGTGAAGAAGACAAGAAATTAACATCTTGATTACAAATGATAACCAGTATAAGGCAGAAAATATATAGAGGATTGAAGAACATATCTTGATTGGAAACAAAATCTCATATAAAAACTTGTAAAACATGTGGCATCACCATTTGACAACAGGCTTAATTAATGCATAGAACCATAGACAATGTGAAGGAAATGATTACATAACAAACAGACTGAACTCACCCCTTAGATGTTTTCTCATGGGTCCACCAATGGCCTGTATTGAAGACTATGATGTCAGCATCATGGTAAGTAGTAGTGGTCTGGTCCATCAAATCCAATCTTAATGTCTCAGAAGACCCATTTATGCCTTTGAAAGTTGACTCTTGAACAATGAATGGTGAACTAACAAAATCTACTGAACAATTATAATCCTAAAAATATAGAAAAGAAAATTTTTCTGAGATATCAGTACAAAATATACAATTGGAAAAATCTCAAAGACAGAGAAGAAACTTGCCTCAAATCTAAAAGCGTAGACACCTTTCTTCTTAAATTCAGTTCTTCCTGAAATTTCAAAAACATGTTTCTTGTCCCTGATGCTTTGACGTAAGGTACACACCATGGACTCCCACATGTTCCTGTTCAGTGAATCCCCCACAAAAACTAGCCTCTGTCCTCGTAACTTTTCCAGAAAATCAGTTGCATTCAAACTGAGAGATGACATCAATAATTAACAAACATAAGCATTAATACATTGTATGGTTTAAAATGACTGCTACCATTTTGATAATTGCAGTGACTATAAACCAAAACTGAGATTAAAGTATGAACACCAAATGCTGAAAAAATAAACCAAGTTGTTAATATCCCAGAATTAAACACCACCCGGCCTGAGTTTCACTGACTCTGATTGCAGAGTACTCTGTATTGCAAGTAAATCACTACATCCCATTATCCCACCTGTTAAATCATATAATTCAAAGCCTACTCTACTGAAAACTATTAATACTCAAAGAGTCTTGGAGTGATGGCAGGGTAAGGGATGGTGAGGGAACATGCCCCTTGTTTAGTTTAAAACTCGCAATGGAATGCAAGTGAAACAATTCTCCCTCAAACTAACTTTTTGTTCCTTTCCAAATTGTGGGTAATGGAAAGGAATAGGTCTTCTTTCAATTTAAAATCCTGTCAGATACCCATAAATTGAGTTAATTTTTTTTAATAAAGATTATATTGAAAATTCAACCAAGTCAACAAGCATTATGGTCCTTGAAAATGTACCTCACTCACAATTTTGTCTCTTATCTAACATAATTCAGTTCTCAAATATTCAAACTTGTTGAACTTGCTCCTTTGGCTATCTCTCGAGGGGGGTAAGGCAAAATGACTGTAATATAAAGTCAGAAATCACACACATTATTTTAATGAGTTACATTTCCAGCGACCAAAGTACAACGCCTATGATCACTTACCTCTCCCTTGTCCCCCTCAATAAAATTCCAAACACAGGAAATGCACCTCTTTTTCCCTTCTCTCCCTTCCTCTCTATGTTATCTCATTCACTTCTCTTCACATTTCTCCCATTGTCTTAATTAAAACTTTAAAGCATTTATAATGAGGACCAAGTTGCTGTTTAATATTCTTCACACTAATTGTTCACCAGCAAGCTTTCATTCCTCTAATTTATTATTAAAATCATATTGCATCTTTCTACTCCTTATTCTCATTCATATAATAATACATACAACTTGCCTTTTTATATATTTTCTTCTATTCTTAATTCTAAATTAGTAACGTTTCTCAGTTGTTAGTAACTAAAAAATAGTAAGAATTAACATCATACCTTGGAATGTCACACCCATTTGGCTGCCATTTCCATTTCACATATTCACTATCCGGCCTCCCATTAAGATGGCAATCAAAATCCCTATCAATGTAGGGACAAGAACCCAAGGGATAGTATGGCTTTGAATCATCTCTCACCCAATTCCCATCAAAGATATCACAGTTCCCACGGAAACCACCCTGCACCATTCCCTCTTTTTGTGAAGCATGACGAGGAGCAATACTAACCCTCACATTATTACTCTCCTTAACTAACCCCTCTTCACACATTCCCACCACACCACCCCCACCAATGCATGAGGAATTCCGCACGTGGGAATCATCCTTCCCTGACACAGTACTAAGATTCAAAGAACAACAATGTCCTTCCTCAGCATGCAAGCTTGCATTTTCATGAGTTCCATTAAGATTCCCCAAAAGGGTCTTCTCCAAACCCTCCCTTGACACATTCACTCCGTCAACCCTCTGCAGAGAACTCACAGAAGCATTGGCCACATTGAAAGAATAAGAACGGGGTGTTGAGAAGGGAAAATGCCAAGAAAAGGAAGAATTTGAATCAGACCCTTGAAGAAAGAGTTGAACTTTGGGAATCGTGAGAGAAGTGTTATTGAGCAAGAGAAGCGTGAGAAAAATGATAGAAACTCCAACGCCTAAACTGAACCCAGAAATCACCTTTCTCCTCTGAGACATAAAGTGTTCAGAAAATGCAAGTCTCTTTGAGTCCATGCAGATTTTCTTATACTGATGAACGATGACACAGCAAACACGATAGTAACCGTTTAGATGAAGCAACAACGTGTTTCGGGGTTCACAGTTCACAGATCAGTGTCGTTTTGAAACAGAGAAAAAGGGCTTTCACTGAACATGAGCATGGAAATAAAGAGAGAGAGAGAGAGAGAGAGAGAGAGAGAAACAGTGTCATTAGCCGCAATCATATATGTAACAGAAAATGTTTAGTCCATTCATGATGCATCATTTTCTACATTTTCGCACCGTCAAATTTACCTTTTTTAAAATATTTAATGTTAAAATGAGTGGTACAAATAAATATTTTGTAACTGAAATTGATAGAAAATAAAAATTTTTGAGGAAAACAAAATGGTTAAAATTGTATAGATTTGGTTCTATCCGACAGATTCAGCGATCTGTTATTAGCAATTTGAAATGAGAGAGTTTATCTCACTCAAATTTTTAAAATTATTTCCTTCCCTTAAACTGAATAGCCTTTAGTTAGGTTTTTAAAATTCAAATTTTGACGCAACAGTTGTCCCATCTGTGATGTACACACAGGCTGCCCCAAATCAGTTGTACGGTTGTGAAATTTCTTTTATATCCTCAATTTTTATCTCACTCGATTTCACAGAAAAAACATTTTATAAAATTACGTTAAATTATATTTTAACATCAAAATTAGAATTTAAAATGAAAAGACATTTAAATAAATTTGACACTAATTCAAACACATTATTTAAGATTACAAACTTTAAAAAATTATTTTATCAAGCACATCCTATTAATCACTTAATAATATGAAAGTAATCAAAAGTAATAAACTTGTATAAGTTTAAAAAGATGACAGATAATGGAAATAAATGTCATTGATTTGGACACTACGCGGCATTTACTATTTTTATCAACGTTTTGGATAATGAAGATCACACCCTTGTTCCAAAATAGTAATAGTGATGAAAGAGGTTAAGGGGTAGTTTCGTCAATGAAGAAAAGGGGCCCACCAGCATTGGGTTCTTCGTCTTCGAGGCCCAAAAGAGAGCGAAACAAATTGACGAAAAATATTGCAAGCAATGGCACTTTTTAAAATACATCTTTTATTATTAATTAAAAATTATAAAAATTCACGTAATTTTTTATTTTTAATAAATTTTAATCAATAGTAAAAATGTGTTAAAAATATATATAAGTTAGCTGGAAATAAATCACGCCGACGCCGACGCCGACGCCGACGCCGACGCAACCTTTGTGACACGTGGCGTCTCCGAAAGGGTACAAACATTCGAGAAAGGGCATGTCATGTGGTGGTGGGTGGCGTTGCGTAGCAGTAGCACCGACGAAGTACATGCAATGTGATGGAGACACGTGGAATCCTTGGACAGTGAGCGTCATGATTTGGTTTGGGCAAAGGGAGCACACAGCTGTGAGCACACATGCGAACTTACCCTTTATAGGGTATGTTTAACCCTTGTGGTGAGGATGGCGCGAATAGCCACCGTGAGCTTTGCAATTTATTAATAACGTATCACTTTTATTATATTTTTAGGCTTTTGTTTTGTTTTAGATGTGATTTGTGAAGTTAGAACAGGTTTCATTCTAGAATTGTGAGCAAATATTTAAAATACAGTATACTTAAGAATATGACAATTTTATATTTGGATAAGGTTTTAAATATAATTGATTTTTAGGAAAGTCCTATTCGTGTGTTTTATTTAAATGTTATCGCATATTATAAGAATGAAATTAATAAAAAGATAAAATTGGTAGAAGGTTGTTTCCTAAGTAAGTCACAGAGGGTCAAATATAGTTTGGAGTCGTACATAGCTGGCCCATATACACTGCTCCTAACTCGGACAGATCCACTCATCAGCTTGTATTTTCTATATTTATTTATACAGTAAACGTTTCAAAGCAAAAAATAAAATAAAATAATTGTAACGTCTAAAATTATTAGGACTCTTATTGATTAATTTTTTAGGCTATTGTTTAAGGAATCAATACATGAAATTGGTTTAGAAAAAGGGAAGAAAATTATGGTGCAGAGTTTGGTCGTTCCACAAAGCTGTGACTACTGAGGTTCTTGTGTTCTATGATGATTTAAATACAATGGCTAAATGAAATTGACCAAAAGAGCATTCAAATGATAAATCTAAAAAGAATGGGAAATTAGTGATGGGAGAAATGACATTACGGAAGAAAGAAAACAAATTTGAGGAACATAAAAATAAGTTGATGAACTAAATTGAAATATAGATTAAATTTAACGGATAAAAAATACTAATTTTATATGAATTTATATTTTAAAATATTAAAAAATTATAATTTAGCAATAAATTATAATATATATTTTTTCTAATCAACTCTTCGATAATTTTCATTAATTAAAATTGAAAAATGTCTCATTCCAAATTTTCATCCTTAATTTTTTATTTTTTTTTAAGTTTAGCATACAGAATTTAAATTTTCCACCTGTATATTTCACACAATGCTAAACGATGTATTATAATTTTTGTTTATCACACCTCACTTGCCTTTTTTTTCCTTTCTATTTAAGTTGCTCATTTAAAAGCATAAGTATGCCACAAATCATAAGGTACTTACAAATTATCTACCAACGAAAGATCACCATTCACCAGCAAGGACCAGCACACTGATTGTTGATCCAAGAGATATCCACTACAATCTAATTTATTAGACTTTAGGGTGAAGATAAGCTAAAGAAAAATAATCAATTAGCCACCAAGACAAACAGCAAGAACAGGTTAAGTGCAACTACATACAATTTTCTAACATTGATTCAAAATTTTTCTGAAGCAACTAAATCAACATTCCAACAAAGAAGATACTTATACATGACTTTCCCTTTTTCTTTTTACAGATGAATACAAGCATTACATAGCTATTGACACTAAAGACAATGTCATTTTTAACAATTAAACTACACCTTTCAAACAGGGAGCTATAGTGGAAAACCAAGATGCTTGTCACCTAGGGCCAGAAAGCTCCATGGCTTCTATAATGAGTGAAGATTCCTCTATCAAATCTGAATATCTTTGAGGGGGATTCTCACAAGACCGATACCGTGGCGTTTCAATCCTCTGTGAGGCCTCCCATCTCTCAGCTAAGCCATCCCCTTCCAACATCTTTAACACTTCTGACATCTTGGGGCGGTGTGAAGGATTGAATTGTGTACACAAGAGAGCAACCTGAACCATTTCTTCTAATTCAACCAGGTCAAAGTTGCCCTTCAGATCTTTATCGACCATTTGACTTAATCTTCCATCCTGGTGGAGCTTCTTAACCTGAAAGTTGTTTGATTCACATTAAACAAAAGAATGGTCATTGAAGAGAAAGAAAATTTATTTTTTAGAACCAATTACTTATACCAAGAAAAAGTAAATTGCAGCTTAAGGGGCTAATTTTTTTAAAACCAGCTCCTGTTAAGAAGTGAAACTACTCTCAAGTCCACCATAATTTCTAGGGAGACAAGGTATCTCCTATTAGTCCTATAAGAGGAAAATTGTTCACAGTGCCAATTTATCATTCATTGTAAGTTATGGAAATAAACATACTTCTAGAACTTGTAGAAGTTTTATATAGTAACTAAACGAGAGAAAAGATGTTGAGAAGAGTGAAAGTCTGTAGAAAGTACCCAATCAAGCATAACACCTTTCTGGTTTGTTGCTCGACCAAAATCTAGAGCCTTATGACCTGTGATCAGTTCAAGCAGCAAGATTCCAAACCCAAACACATCAGTCTTTTCTGATGATTGGCCAGTGGATAAATACTCTGGAGCAATGTGACCAACAGTGCCACGCACAGCAGTGGTCACATGTGAATCTCTATGATCAAGAAGCTTAGCTAAACCAAAATCACCAACAACAGCTTCAAAATCTTCATCAAGCAATATGTTGGCCGCTTTGACATCACGGTGAATAATTTTAGGGTCACATTGCTCGTGCAAATAAACCAACCCTCTTGCTGTACCTAAAGCTATTCTCTTCCGCCTTGTCCAATCTAAAGCTGGCCGACCATGAATATGGTCTGGTATATAAAAAACCAAAGCCAAATAAGGTACAGTTTAAAATGATCTTGAGGAATTGAAGTATAATTAATAAATCATAATCAGCTTAAGAAAATGGTTCCTTAGCAAACCCAAAAGAGAGAGAGGACACAATGTGTCTGTCAAGGAAGCCTGTGATAGCAATTCTTTAAATCTGTTAGCATGAGAAAGGTAATTTGTGCAAATTTTCCATGCTAAGCAAAGATCAAATTTAAATATATGGATTTATGAAGTTGAAAAGAGGCAATTGGTATAAACACATTAGTAGCAAAGTTTGATACTGTAATTGATACCTTAATTTTGGTTTTTATACTCCGTTAATTCTATGATTTAACTATACATAATGTTAAGATTGATATATTTTGTCAACCAATCCATTTTGCTTCATAAATTATCAAGTCTAGATTGGGTTTGAATCGGCTCCAGAGAAATGACTCTATCAAAATTTCAGGTCGGATTGGGGCAATGATAAACCTAGCCATGTACACCCCTAATTAGCAATCAAGGTGGCCAACATTAGATTCAACCCACCTCTTATAGTGAAAGTTTAGTGAGCTAACCTTTTAATCTAGAGGCTACACTGCCATTTGGCATATATGGATAAACAAGAAGTCTTTCATTCTGAGTACTGCAAAACCCTGAAAGCCTCAGAAGATTCCGGTGGACAGCCAAGCTTATTGTCTCAACTTCTGTCTGAAATTGGATCTCCCCACCAGCTGCATTATAGTCCTTTAACCTTTTAACAGCCACAACAGCCCCATCATTCAAGCATGCTTTGTAAACTATTCCAAAGCCACCTCTTCCAAGAATGTTCTTTGAGTTGAAATGGTCTGTTGCAGCTCGGAGCTCTTTGAATGAAAATCTTTTTAAATGACCAAGGCGCACCTCTGGGTCATAATGCTCTGTGAAGTAACAAACTTTTACTGAAAATGCAAAGAATAAAGAGAATCCAAATAATAATAAAAGTAATATGAAAGTGAGTGAACACACGTGCACACACTATTCCTTTGTCAAGTGCAAATTAA